AAGTTGCAATTGCTAGAGTGGAGAATTGCCAGCAAGTGGGAAAGGGACATGCATCAAAGGGGTAGAGGGGCTGGATATACTACACATGCCCTGCTTACTTTAAAGACTTTTTTTGACATGTGTAACATGTCCAGTGTCCTAAACTAGTTAAAATGAACTTAGGCTTGGTTCTTGCAGGGCAAACTCAACTCTTTTCCCCTCTCGACCCAGTTAAATATATTCACTGTTCCTCTGTAAGCTCCAAGGTAATTTGGTCAGAGCTTGTATAGGGATGAGGACTCTAACACCACCTTAATATGACATGTGGGGGATGGCATGCTCCCCCATACTCAGAAGTATCACTCAGTGCTTTAAATAATATAAAAAAAACACTAACTTGCTCAGCAATGCACTTAATGATCTCAAAAATATAGCCTTGTCTTTCTGCACTTTTGGAGTAGGCTAATGACAGCAAGATTTCTGCAGAAGACTGATCTCACAGATGAGTTCCCTTTAAAAATATTATAGAAGTAAATATTTGACATTTCTGTAAAAGGCAGGACACACTGGAGACCTATGCCTAGCACATACTCTTACTTAACAGGCTCCTCTTTTATCCTGCCATATAAATAGTGCTTGAATGGCTTTGATAAAGCCTGAATTGTATTTTAGGCTGGCAGCCAATGTAAATCTGAATGAAGATGTAGAAGAAACATCCTGTTTCATTTTACATCCAGTAACGAAAAAAAAATTCTAGAACACAGAATTATTTTTATATTTGCTCTTTTACTCTTGCAGTATTATTGATCCGACAAATTCAATATGGATACGCTTTTGAGTGTGCTGGCTGCTTCTATTGATATGAGATTGTGGTGTAAAGGGAATACATTCCCTATAGAAGATTTTCATTTTTATGATAGCTTTTATATGAGATAGGCAGTGTTTATAAATGTGCCTGTCACTTCTAACAGTGAGACTGCTTCTCTCTTTTGAGACGTGGAAACTTTGTAATTCCCATTCCCATTATAGCTGCATAGCATCACAAGCTCATATTTGGGAGATTTCTTCAAAAATTCTTTTTTAACATGCCTTACAAGTTCATTTCAAATTTAGTCCCCGTAATAGAGACCGTTTTGCATTCATTATCGATTTTGTTTTTCATGTTCTTTTAAAAGTACTTCTATGACAATAAATAAGTAGTCTTACATGAAAGTAATATTAAACTCTTAGTGTTTTTAGTTTAGCTCTTTGAGCACAATAAAAAAAAAATCCCCAGTAGACTATTTGTTAAAATTATTACACCAGCACTTGCAGTTTGCAACTTTCAATGCTACTGGCTCCTGCTTTCTGAGTGCTGCTTTCCTGAACTTCTGATGTTCACAGGAAAGAGTTAACAGTGGACAGTGCAACCTGAAGTCTGTCTGATAGCTTGAAGAAGGAGGGGGGGGGGGGAGGAAAAAGTAGTGAAGTGCCTTGCCATCCTAGCTTACAGGGTTGTATGTTTCTATTTATGCACACCGGAAATGACAACTCTAGTTTCTGCATGCAAAGGTAACTTCTTAGTATGTGGAAAGAGAAAGGAGCCATCCTGAAACCAGAAACCTGGGGCAGTGGTTATGGCAGCAGCTTACCCTGAAACATAGGCAGGGCAGCACAGTGACTAAATGGTTAGCACTTACACCTGCAGTATTAGGGTCCTTGGTTCAAATCTCAACCATGGCACCACCTGCCTGAAGCTTGCATTTTCTGCTTGTGTGGGTTTCCAGTTTCCTTCCCACACTCCAAAGACATACTGGTTGGTTAATTGGATCCTGTCTAAATTAGCCTTAGTATGTATGAATGTAAGTTAGTGACCTTGACTGCACACCCCTTGAGGGTTAGGGACTGATGTGAATGTAATATATATATATGTATATGGAGGAGGAAATGGTAATATCCTCATTCACTCATATCTGGTTCCATACAGAAATGTATGTTGTATGTTCCTCCTCCACATATATATATATATATATATATATATATATTATATAGCACTTCCTGAAGAAAAAAAAATGTTGGTTGTTGCAATTTTATGTCACACAATATTGGTACATACTGTAATGAATTTTGGTGCACACAAACACAATATAGTACCCAATTTTTTGGTAACACATATGTTACACCAAGTAAATAGATGCCAAACAATCCCATCATGCTTTAAAATTGCATACACCCGTGGAATGGCAATTAACCACAGCGCTTAAAAATCTTCATAGGCAATGCTTTAAAAGCCTTTACAGGCTACCAGTTTACAGATACACTGGAAGTCTGGTGCTAGATTTATTGCTCTCACTTTTGTGAGAATACTGCTCATGTGCAGTGCGATCACCATTTTTATGCATGCAAGAACTACTATAAGTTTGTATTTGCATGTGAGCATGGAGGGGCAGTGCACATTAATTTATTTTATTTATTTATTTTTTTTTTTTTACACCGTCCCTTTATTTATTTTTTATTAACTGTATTGCAATCAAAAGGGATGAACAACAACCTTTGTGATAGCATGGGCAGTGACAGGCAATCTTGTATTGAGAGATCTGAGATCTCTCCTCTGCCCTCAAAACAAGAAGCCAAAACTGGAAATGGCAATATCCTCATTCACTCATATCTGGTTTCATACATCCTAGAATGTATGTTCCTCCTCCATCTCTGTGGTGTGCTGCTGCTACTGCTGGTTTCAACCTCTAGGTTCCTGGGAGAAATAAGAGAGCCTGGGAAGGCGGCACATGTAAAAGTGATCCTGCCACTTAATAGCCGCTCAGATCACTTTCATAGAGTATCACCAGCTCTAAAAAAAGATACCAGGGTAATGAATGATGCTGCAGCTATGACCAGGGCTGTTTTTAATGTGGGACAAAAGGGGGTGTTGCCCTGGGCCTAGTCATTATTGTGAGGCACAAGGCAGCTGCTACGGTTTCGGTGGGAAGCAGGGCAACTTAGTTAAATCTGGTGCCGACAATGGCATCCTAGGGGCGCAGGCAGGATGATAGCGCCATGCTCCACAAGGCAATAGGACGGCCCCGGAGACAGAGGACACAGGGAAGGCAAGCAGCACAAGGGTGGCCAGGACTGAGAGCCCAGGAGGGAGAAAACCTTCACCACCTCCCTGAGTGAGGTGAGCAGTTGAGCAGGACGGCCCCGGAGCGGGGACACAGGGAAGGCATCAGCACAAGGTGGCCAGGACTGAGACCCAGGAGGGAGAAACCTTCAAACCTCCCTGAGTGACAGCAGGGGCACAACCCTTATTCAAAGACTGGGACTCCTTATTCAACCTCCTCTCCCCTCCCAGCTCCAACATCAACAGTAGGACAGGTGGCCCTGTACTGAGGATGAAGACTGGCGGGAAGTAGGTACTAGGCATCACACTCACCTACCCACAGACTGGGAAAGGAGGGCACTGGAGGTATTGCAGGCAGGGGCAGGGCTAGGGGTCACTCTCTCATCCCCCTTTCCTTCTCCCACCCAACCCTCTCTCTCCCTCACCCTCTCTCACACCCTTTCTCTCTCACCCCCCCACTCCCTCTCTGTCACCCCCCCCTCTCTCTCTCATATCCCTTCTCTCTCTCTCATCCCTCTCTCTTTCTCATTACCCCTCTCTGTAACCCCCACACCCCTCTCTTTCCCTCCCTCCTTTCTCTCTCACACCCTCCTCTCTCTCACCCCTCTCTCACTCCCCCTCTCCCACCCTCCCTCTCTCACCCCACTCCCTCTCTCTCATCCCCCCTCTCCCTTTCACTCATCCCCCCTCTCTCTCATCACTCATCCCCCCTCTCTCTCACCCCCCTCTCACCTCTCCTCTCTCTCCAACCCCCCCCCCTCTCTCTTTCATCCCCCCTCTCTCACCCCTCTCTCTTTCTCACTCTCCTGTGTCATACCCCCTTTCTCCCTTCCTTTCTCCCCCCTTTCTCCCTCCTTTATCTCACTCACACACCCTCTCTCACCCCAACTCTCTTTCGCCCCATCTCCCAACTTCCATCCCCCTCTCTCTCCTTCTCTCACCCCACTCCCTCTATCTCACCCCCCATCACTCCCCCCTCTCTCATCCCACACCCCTCTCTTTCCCTCCTTCCTTTCTCTCTCTCACACCCACTCTCTCACCCCCCCCCTCTCTCTCTCTCTCTCTCTCTCTCTCCCCCCTCTCTGTTTCTCACTCCCCCCTCTCTCTCCCATCCCCCCTCTCTCATTCTCCCTCTCTCTATCACCCCACTCTCTCTCACCCCTCTCTCTTTCTCACTCCTCTTATTGTCACCTCCACACCCCTCTCTCTCCCTCCCTCCTTTTTCTCTCTTGCACCCCCTCTCTCATCCTTCCTCTCTCTATCAACCCCCTCTTTCTTATCTTCCTTTGCTCACCCTCCTCATTCCCCCTCTCTCTTATCCCCCCTCTCTCACCCCTCTCTTTCTTATTCCCCCTCTCTGCCACCCCCCCCCCCCCCCTCTCTCCCTCCCACTCCCTCCTTTCTCTCTCTCACACTCCCTCCTCCAACTTCCTCCTTTCTCTCTCTCCCAAACCCTCTCCTTTCTCTCTCTCTCTCTCTCTCTCTCACACACACACACCCTCCTCCCCTCTCTCTCTCTCTCTCTCTCACACCAACCCCTCCCCCCTCTCTCTCTCTCCCCTCTCTCTCACCCCTCTCCCCCCTTCTCACTCCCCTCTCTCTTACTCCCCTCTACCACCCCCCTTACTCCCCTCTCTCCCCACCCCCCCTCTCTCCCATCCCCCCTCACATGAAGGCAGGGGAAACTGAGTAGACATTAACTTACAGGTGACAGAAAGTTAGTGTTATCGATCCCATCCCCTTAAGCCAGGGGTGGACTGGCAACTCATGGGGCCCCCAGGCAATAAGAGATAATGGGGCCCCCTGTGTCTCCGCCTACACTCAAGCCACACCTACACAACACCCCACCTACATATTGCAGCTCAGCTGCATAGAAAGGGCATTAAAAAAAACTTAAAAAATAATAAAACATTGTTATGGGGTCCCCCCTCCATTCATACCAAGCCCTTCGGGTCTGGTATGGGTTTTGAGGGGAATATTTTTAAAAAATGGCATGGGGTCCCCCCAAGATCCATAACAGACCCTTATCCAAGCATGCAGCCAGGCAAGTTAGGAAAGAGGGGGGACAAGCACCTTGTCCCCATGTTGATGGGGACAAGGTCCTCTTCCCCACAACCCTGGCATGTGATTGTAGGGGTCTGCAGGCAGGGGGCTTATTGGAATCTGGAAGCCCCCCATGTGAATGAACATGGGGTACATGGTACCGCTTTCCATTTACGCAAAAAAAAGTGTAGTGTGAAGAAAAGACAGGAGACAGTCTTTGACAAGTCCTTTATTAAAAGAAGAAAAATAAAAGAATGTCCCCTGAAGTAGATCCAACATCAATCATGATGGCTGCCACCGCCGCTATCCGAAAAAAAAAAAAAAAAACAAGGCTCTGCTCCCGACGCTGGCTTCCAGCCATCTGACTGCTCCATTGGCTTGACAATTCTTAAATATGTAAGGGGTGCTCGTTCCCCCTCCATTCATTTTGTGAGGGAACCCACGCAGTTTTTTTAATAATTTTTTTTAACTGCCAGCAATTCTTTCTTTTACATTCAGCTGTCAGTGGGGAACCCAGTTGTATAGTATATGGTGAGCTTTACAGACTTCTCCTATTTTCTATACTACAGGCTGCATGTGAGTACAGCAGTGGGTGGGAACAATATCCAGAAGGAGGAGAACAGGTGCAAGTTGTGTCTTCTGATGAGCTGAGCTGGTGAATAAGATTCCTTTCAGATGGGGTGGACCCGTTTAGTGGATTGCACAGCGGGGGATCTCTCCACTGATACCCACTGAGCAAGTGGATAACAGGTCTGTGTCTGCTCTGCTGCTGCAGAGCAGACACAGAGATGCTTGCTCTCCTCAATGGGTGGTCAGATGAAAACAGACCGCCTGTCAGTTTCCATCCAACCTGATCCGATGGACAGAAGGGGAATTGGATCCATCCATCCCTTTTTGCAGATCGGATTGGATGTCGGTGGGTGTAAATGCAAGTGTACAATCCAAACGCACACGTTCCTACGTTAAAAATGGCTGTGTGTATAAATGGGTGCTGCGGTGACCGTCGGCTGGAACCGAACAAAATTAGCAAGGAAAAAATGTCACTAGCACACCAAGGATCACCAATATGGGTCCAAAGGTTTTAATAGACTATCACATAGTTACAGCGAGGCAACGTTTCAGAGTCTCGCAGGAGCCCTTCATCAGGCATGTGACCACGTGCCTGATGAAGGGGTCCTGCGAGACTCCAAAACGTTGCCTTGCTGTAACTATGTGATCGTCTAATAAAACCTTTGGACCCATATTGGCGGGTGTAAATGGACACATGTCTATTTACACCCACCACTCCATACAGGAGATAGGGGGTTATGATTGGATCCGCTGAAAAATGGGCAGGCAGACCCGATCGGAACGTCCATCAGAAAGAGGCCTTACTTCCTGTGACTTTTCTATGGAGCAAGCTGCAGCTGGACAGGTAGGGCTGTTCTAAAATATTAAGCCAGCATTATATTTTCTGCAACAGAAGCACAATAATGATGCATTGTACACAGGAGAGCTGAAATGTAGAAAAAAAGGTGAACTTTGCCTTTAAAATCAGTTCTGTTCACACTGATCCAAATGCAGCAGAAAGCAGTGAGACATTGTAGAATATCTGTGTACTTTCTATATTAATCAACTGCTAAAATTAAACTGATCTAGTTATCTGTACCTTGGACAAGATGGATAATTTACCCGCTGAAAAAAATCAGCTGGATAATTAAAGAGATCATTCATGTTTGAGTTGGTGCAATAATCTAAATAGTTAGTCTTAAGCTGGCCATAGACTGATCAAAATTCAACCAGTTCAGAAGGGACCAGCAACATTTCATTTAGCTTGTGGGTGTTCCTGTTCAAAAGAAGTTAATCATTACATCGACTGCAGTCAAATATCAAGCTAAAAAACTTTTGTTGATCAGCAACTGCAGCTGCTGACCAATGTATTCTGACAGTGCCGAGTTCCACTATCAGAATACCTTGTTCTGATGAAGGAGAATCCTCATCTACCTAGTGAGTGTGTGAATAAAGGAATTTGTTCTTTTTTTGTTTGTTAACTTTTCTATGGAGCAAGCTGTAGCTGGACAGGTAACACTGTCCTAAAATACTAAGAAAGCTTTATATGTTTTGCAACAGAAATACATTAATGGTATATTAATGCATAGGAGAGCTGAAATTTAGACCAAAAAGGCAAACTTTGTCTTTAAAATCAGCTCTGTTCACACTGATCCAAATTCAACAGAAAGCAGTGAGACAATGTAGAATGCCTATGTACTTGTAATATTAGTCAGCTTCTAAAATTAAACTAAAAGCAAACCTCTTTTGCTTAAAAAGGGTACAAATTACAACAGAATATTTCAAGGTACTAAAGACAAAGAAGTAAAGAAAAAAAGAGAAGTAAAGCCACTTGTGGCTGCTAAATATCTGACAAAAGAGCAAAATCCTGTAGTGCTCAGGCCCAGACTGGTCATAGGGCACACTGAGCATTTACCCTTTCCTTTCTCTCTCTCTCTATCTCTCTCTTTATCTATTCTCTTTCTCTCTCTCTCTCTCTCTCTCTCTCTTTCTCTCCTTCCTTCCTTCCTTCCTTTCTTCTTTCTCTAGTTGTCTTTTCTTTCTTTCTTTCCTTCATTCTTTCTCTTTCTCTCTCTTTCTCCCATTCCTTTCCTTCCTTCTTTCTCTCTCTCTTTCTCCCATTAATTTTCTTCTTTCTCTCTCTCTCTGTCTCCCATTCCTTTCTTTCTTTCTTTCTTTCTTTCTTCCTTTCCTTACTACTATTAACTCTAAACAAACCCTAAAATGTAAATAAAGCCAAAACATAATTTACTAGTTTTAGAAAGTGTAGGCTTTTTATGTTATCTTTGTTCCTATTACATGTATTGTACATTCATATCAGTTTCTGTTCCCAAGGAGCTTATAATCTAAGGTCCCTCGCTCACACATATACGAAGACAAATTTACAAAAAGAGTCAAAGCCAATTAACCTGTCCCCAAGTCTTTTGCGTTCGGGAGGAAACCGAAGTACACCCATGTATGCACAGGGGGAATACTTAAACTCCATGCAGGTACTCCATGTTGGAATTTGAACTGGTGACCCTATTGCTGCAAGAATTCCATGTTAAGCTGACAGAGTGGTTGAATGTAGAATAGATTAAATTATATCAGAAGACATTTAGATATGAATTCTTTTTCAAGGATTGGATATAAAGATTTATATGTATTTTCAAGGTTATAAAAACTGTATTTATTTTCAAAGAAGCTAGTCTTTTGTCTAGGCCAGCAACTGCAATCAAGAACTTCCTTGCTTACAATTGAAGGCCTTTAAGAGTCATTCTATATTCCTTTATTGTCATTATTAGTAGTAGCAGTAGTCTTAGTATCAGTTATTCACAGAATTTGTATTCATTTATATTATAAAGATGAGAAAAAATTATAATTAAAGGTGGCAGCTGCACTTTAACAACCCCTTACTGAGATACTGAACAACTTATGCAATGCTGAAATGAGGGAAGGTGACAGTACCCTTCATTTACATGAAGCTAACAGTAGTCATATTAAAAATTAAGTGTTTCCGTAAAACTGCATCCCAAGTGATTTAGTTAGCTGTGCTTTAGACAAGATAGATAATTTACCCACTGAAAAAATCAGCTGAATAATGAAAGATCATTTATGATTGGATTTGTACATTGATCTAAGTGGTTAGTCTTAAACTGGCCATAGAGTGATCAAAATTCAGCCAGTTCATCAGGGACCAGCCACATTTCGATTAGCTTGTGGTGATCCTGTTTGACAGTACTTACATCGACTTCAGTCAAATTGAAAAGTGGGAAATCTTTTGTTGATCAGCAACTGCAGCTGATGACCAATGTATTCTGACAGTGCCAAGTTCAACTTTCTTTTTAAATTCAGCCCACTGTCTCAGTGAAAAACAACTACCCGTCTATGCCCAGCTTTTGATGATTTGCAATTGCATTTTACTTACTTTGAGTATAACGCCATCGGTCAAGTCAAGGTGTCGCATACCTGGTTAGTAAGCCTGACATGCAGAGGAAGGTATCACATACAGCACCGGCTTGAGGGTCACTAGTAGTGGAACAGTAGGCACAAAAGCACTTTGTGATATAAGAGTGCCTGTGATCAGTCCGGTGATCTGTGTGGTAGTAGCCGATGCTTTGCTGGAAGGAATCAGGGCAGCTGGCAGCAAGCAGATGCCACAGCAGGGCAGGCTCATAGCAGACAGTCTGGCAGGAAGCAGATGTCACAGCAGGATGCCTGGTAGCAGACAGACTGGCAGAAGGCAGATGAGAACATGCTGGACTGAGGATCTGTAGCAGGCTGGATGCAAGGTCAGTTAGGGCTCATGTACACGGGGCATTTGAAAAACTCTTCTGACCACTGGAAACTGACTGCTAGAAACCTACGTTTAGGTTTTTAAATACGTCAGTTTAGCCGTGTTTACCTACAGCGTTTATGCGCTTTTAGCCGCGTTTATGCACGTTTGCGTTTAGAAGCTTTTTTAAAAGATAAACTCAGGAGACCCTCTCAAATGCCTAGAATGCACCAAAAAAATAATAAATTCACTAAAAAAGGCTACTAAAATACCGCATGAGTTATTTTATTAGGTCATGTGGTATTTTAGTAGTGAAAACCATGCGTTAATGTTTCAGCTGTCAGCGGGATTCCCGACTGACAGCTGAATGTAAAAGAGAGAATTGCCAGCAATTAAAAAGTAATAAAAAAATGGCACGAGGTCCCCCCCACCCAGCTACTGTATACCAATCTCTTCAGGTCTGGTATGGATTTTGAGGGGAAGCCCCACGTCAAAATAAAAAAAATGCAGCCCAGCAGGTCAGGAAAGGGGGGGTGAGCAAGCTTGAGCACCCCCCCCTTAACAATACAAGGCCACATGCCCTCAAGATGGGGGGGTGCTTTGGGGTAGGGGGAGCTCCCCCAAAGCACCTTGTCCCCATGTTGATGGGGACAAGGGCCTCTTCCCCACAACCCTGAGCTGTGGTTGTGGGGGTCTGCGGGCAGGGGGCTTATCAGAATCTGGAAGCCCCCTTTAGCAAGGGGTCCCCCAGATTCCAGCCCCCTCCCCACATGAATGAGTAATGGGTACATGGTACTGCTACCCATTCACAAAAAATAGCTGTAGTGTGAAAAAAGACAGGAGACATTCTTTGACAAGTCCTTTAATAAAACAATGTCCAAAGTAGAAGTAGTAGTCGAAGTAGATCCAATGTCAATCACGATGCCCTCCGCCGCCACTCCATAAATGAAAAAAGCTCTGCTTCTGATGCTGGCCTCCGGCCTGCCTCTGAGCTGGTTTGACAGTTCTTAAATATGTAAGGAGTGGGGCCACTTGGTGACATCACCCGTGTGACCCCACCCCCATATGACATCATTGACCGGGGCATGCTGGTCACTGATGTCACACGGGGGTGGGGTCACACAAGTGATTGCCCCGCCCCTTACATATTTAAGAACTGTCAAACCAGCTCAGAGGCAGATGGCCGGAAGCCAGCGTCGGAAGGGGAGCCTTTTTTTTCACAGAGCGGCGGCTGCGGTGGACATCATGATTGATGTTGGATCTACTGTGGGGGACATTCTTTTATTTTCCTTCTTTTATTAAAGGACTTGTCAAAGAATGACTCCTGTCTTTTTTCACATTACAGTTTTTTTTTGTGAATGGGTAGCGGTACCATGTACCCCATACTTATTCAGGTCAGGGGGTGAGATCTGGGGGCCCCCATCCCAGGGTTGTGGAGAAGAGGCCCTTGTCCCAATCAACATAGGGACAAGGTTCTTTGGGGGGGAGCTCCCCCTACCCCAAAGCACCCCCCCATGTTGAGGGCATGTGGCCTGGTATGGTCTGGGGGGGGCGCTCGTGCTCGCTCTCCCCCCTTTTCCTGATTTGGGGGGGGGCACACCATTTTTTTTAATGTTGGTGTGGGGCTCCATACCAGACCTGAAGGGCTTGGTATGGTTGGGAGGGGGGACCACACGCATTTTTTTAAAATTATTTTTTAATTGCCGGCAGTTCTACATTCAGCTGCCAATGGGAACCCCGCTGACAGCTGAAACATTAATGCATGCTTTTCACTACTACAATTCCACATGACTTGATAAAATAACTCATGTGGTATTTTAGTAGCCTTTTTTAGTGGTTTCAAATGTTTTTTTTTTTTTTTAAATGCTATGTGGTATCCTAACGCATTCTTGGATGTGGTAGAATACCACTTAGTGAATTGTGCACTGGATATGGACCAGTCAAAAAACAATTCTAAACGCAAACACTTATAAACATGGTTGGCATTTGAAACTACGGTAAAATATACTCCTGAACGTAATTTTGCTGCGTTCAAAAAAAGATTGTAAACTCAACTGCCTATAAACGACTGTAAACAACATAGTGTACATGTACACATAGGAAAACATTAGGGTGAGTTCAGGGGCTGCTGAAAAAAATGCAGAAAAGCTCCTGAATGTCAGTTTATCAATTGCAGTGTACATGAGCCCTTACAGACAAACAGATGAGGCATAAACAGCAGGCAAGAGAGGAGTCGGGTCACAGGCCAATGTCAGCAGCATAGAAGCAGATCAGGGAAAAACAGGAGGCTGAAACAGAATCCAGAGACAAGCCAAGGTCAAGGCAGCTAGCAGACAAGCATGGTCGTGAACAAGTCGGGTCAGGATCTGATGTCAGGCACAGGTTTTAGAAATAAGCACACAGAATTCTGTAGACCAAACAACAATGGGTCATTGCTGCAGCCCTGTTTAAATAGCCAGTTTGGAGGCAGTATCTGTGACAGGAGTGCATGTGGATATGCGCGTACTCACATGTGCGCATATGCGCACATCTGTGCACAGCTGCTCAGGCACCTGCCAACCTGCCCTTGCAAATATGTATGCACCTGGGTATTCCATCTGTGCAGTGGGCAATCCTTCCCTAACACAGGGGGTTCAAAGGTGCCCTGAAATCTGACATAAGTTGCTCTGTGTACTCCCTTGATTAACACACTCTCCTGAGAGTGTTAAACAGCTTCAAATAACATTACTGTGGGAATGTAAAAAGAATTAAAAAATAATTATAATAATAAAGTGCTCTGCTTGTCCTTGACTTACTCAACCTCATTGTGAAAAAGTGTTTAAGGTCAAGCATTTTTAACGCTCTGCAAACGCCGTGTGCCTGGTTCAGTGGCGGTTGCTAGGCATTTTCCGAGCATTAAAAACGCCCCACAAATGCCTATAATGAAGTTTGAATGGTGTTAACGCTCCGCAAACGACGCGCAACAGTGTTGCAACCGCACAGCAAACGCCGGCCGGGCATTTTCGGAGCGGTACCATAGACTTAAATAGGAGGCTTCAACTCCTCCTGACTCGACCAGAGGTGTCTGTTTTTCTGCGACGCAACGCGACACTAACGCTCCCGTTTGAACAGCACTATGTGCTGCAATGTGCAGAATTTTCCCAGGCGTTTGGGAAACGGTAAAAGCGCTTCCCAAATGCCTGTCTGCCGCTTGCTAACAAGGCTAGTGTGAACGCAGCCTTAGAAACATTTTTGGGTTTTAGTAAAAACCTTCTTTAGTATGTACCTTGGTTACGTATCATTGATCTAATTACCTTTACTTAGCTACGTACGAGAAATTTCAAGGTTTACAAAGATTTTTTTCCAGATTTTTTTCAGAACTTTCTTAGTACATGTAAGATTGTTTTATCGACTTTCTTTTGTCTGAAATGAATAATATAAGATGATGAAATCATGTAGCATGTTCTATGGAAACCAATTAACGCATTAAATGAGCTAAAAAAAATTGCATAGGGCATAATTAAGCAATTCTGATTTCGGGGAGGGACATATCTTTGCAGTTTATGCCCTTGTGAAAAACATTGTGACTGACTTATACTGGATCATTAGCACAAATTATTCTTAACAAAAAAAAAAGTTATACTGTACAAAGTGCTAATTAGAAAATAAATGTGAATCTTTTCCCCTAGTCCCTGCTATTTAGGTAAAATGAATGGATCTTATGAATATTTCACTGAGTTGACCAATTTAAATGATCTTTTTTTTAGGAAGTTGGATTGCTTCTTGAATTTTCCTTAAAATTTAACCTTAGAGACATCATTAAATTTGTGAAGTCAAATAATAGTTCCAGAACCACAAAGGAATCCTTCAATTCACCTTTTTCCAGTACTGTTTATCTTCCGCTTTTTTGCCACCAGATGGTACTAAACCGTAATAGTTTATGTGACACTGTGGGTTTTCTTCTATTGATGGTATATAAACTGTAACATATTCTTCCTACAAGAAAACCATTTATTCACTTCAGATGAAACTAAGGTTCATTTTCAGTGCAGTTACAAAGACATGAGAGAATTTAGAGAGCATTAATAAAGGGTCTGGTATGCTTGTATAGAAATTAGTATTGTTCACTTCACTCAGAGTCTTGGAATTCTCATTGTTCACGTTAAAAAAAAAAAGAAAAAATCTTAGAAGGGGTCTTTCATTAAAATACCTAAAATGTTCTTAACAATCAGATATAGACTAAGGCAATAACAAAGGGAAAAAATAAAATATATATGATCATACTGTTCAAATGTATTGTGGAATGAATAAAGCATGAACATATCTATGCCTATTTGATAATGCCATATATCCAAGAAAGCAATGCAAAGAGCAATATGTTGCTGAACAAATTTTAGCGTCTCTGAAATATTAGGTATAGTTATGTGTATATTTTGGCAGAAAGAGCTACTCTTCAGCACAGCGGAACACAGAGCAGGTGAGGTGAGTGTAAAACAATGAGTTAATGCTGACTCAGCACTTAAATGCATTTTAGGTTAGGCCTTCCTCCCTAATCTAAAATCATCATATGACAACAGTAAAAAAAAAAAAAAAAGACACCACTTGAACCACTCTACACCACAACCGCCCCACAACAGTACATGATCTCCAAAATATACTCCATTCTCTTTCCAGACCACCTACCGAGGGCCAGTAAAGCATGTCTAGCTGGGAACAAGATTTAGCTCTGAAACTGTCTGCTGAGGAATGGGAACGTGTTTGCACGTACTTGCAAAAGGGATCTGTAAGTGTTCTCACACAGGAGAATGGTTTTAAAGGCAAATTTGTCTTTATTAAGTTTTATAACATAGAATACAGAAAAGAAAAAAGGGTAAACCAGCGATTACATATGCATATGTACAATCAATAGGCTCAAACAGGAGAAGAGCCAAAAAGATAATTTAAATCAGTGAGCTTCACCAGTCAAATTAGGAAAACCTGGATAAATAACAGGAAAACCCAGAGACATATAACTTGAGAATGTGTCCCAAAAAAGGGCATAAAGAGCAGCAACATATGTCCGAGCGGAGTCTACCAAATAAAAAAAAACAGAGAATAAAGGGGGAAAGAGGGAAAGAAAGGAAAGAAGAAGCACAGGAAAAAAGAAAAGAAAGGAGGAAGAGTCAGGAGCCAGGACAGACAAGGGGGCAAAGCCAAAGTGGAACAACTCCAAAGGGGCCCAATGGGGGCAATCCAATCTCACAAATTAAAAACAAATGCACTGATACAAGGTAGACAGCCCGTGGGTCCAGCAGACCAAACGGATGAGGTCTAAGAAGGCACAGCAGGAGCACACAAGTCATGAAGGGTCAAGGAGGAGAAAAATGGAGCCAGACTGACCATAATAATTTATGTTTTTCAGAGGTATCATTGGCAAACGCCAACATCTCCTCCATTCACATGATATCATTAATTGCAGAAACCCACAACGGTTTTGGCCGTTTTCCAAAAAAGAGGTATCAATTGACGAGCCGCAGACAGGAAGAAACATAAACATTTCTTTTGAGCTGCCAGCGTGCCTGGTAAAATAAAGAGAAGAGCAATATCCAGCAAAGAGGTCAAGGACTCACCATAAATTTTATTATAGACTTCAAAAACTTGGTACCAAAAGGGACAAATTATATCACAATCTCACCAAATATGAAGCTGAGTGCCCACAGCCACATTACAACACCAACAAAGATTGGACGTAGATGGAAAAATCCTGTGAAGGGAAT